TTTATGGACGTCCTCAAGCCCTTTAGAAGAAAGTTCAGTTTTCGAGCCATTCATTTTGAGAAATTGTAAGTGTGGCTTCCTGTCAAGGCAAAGATTGACCAAAGCGGAACGTTGGACTTGTGGATTTTGGGCAATCCATAGAGCGGGGCCAGTGCTGTATTCGTTGGTTCCGTCTGTCACCACTCGTCATTTTTTTAAACGGAGGACTGACGGAGCCGTAAACGCTATAACTAGGTCTGGATAACCGTAAGTCCTTTCTCACGTCCTACCAGTTATGTAGCTAGATGTAATAAAAGAAATCGCTCTCATTTACTCCTAACCAAATGCAATGATTTATTTCGGCCCAATACACTTAACACTTTTACGATGGATGGTTGAAGTCAGTAAGCACATTTAACTTCTCGGTAGAGTTGGAGGTACTTTATGTCTGTGATTCTACAAATGTACTACAGAGTGAAATGGCTTTGCCGTTATCATAACACAGCTACTGGATAAATTTCAAGGCACGTGTTCTATAGAGTTTCTGCGCCTGTATGCTGCCGCGGCACGAGCCCGGGCGAGTTAGTAGATCCCTCAACATTTCCTTCTTGATTTTTATTATACCTCACTTTAGGTGCAATGGCCGCGTTTTGTATTCATCTGCGAAGCCGAGATTTAATAGTGCGTACGAAAGTTGTCTGCCGTTTGGTGCTCAGATCACAATTTATTCTGATTGTAGACCGGAGTTCAGGCCGCGTGAATCCTTCGCTTTTTGTTTTTTATTTCTTGCCTTCCTGTCGCCAATCGTGTACATTCGAGGAAATCCGAATCAGGAACGCCGTTGATTGTCGTTCCACCTTCTCCTAGTTGCTTTAAATCGCTCTCAGAACCATAGCCAGGCGTAAGGATGATCAAAATTACTGTTCTGACCTAACGTCTGTGGCTCAAGCACACATCTCACATCGAGCACTGGCCTTGCCAAGTTGTCAGGATCGAGTTTAAACCTTATGAGTACGCTTGTGTGGTGCTATTCGTTTGCAGCCGCCCGAGTAGAGCTGAAAGCGTTATGTGGGCGTCTGATTGAGAAGTCGTCTGTTCTCGCTCATAAGATTTATAAAGCATTTTACCTAAATCCGAGCATCCGCTGTTGGGCATGAAACCCCATATTAGCCACTAGATCGTGGGAAAATTACATCTTGTCTACGCTTTTGCCAGACAACTTTATTGAGTAAATGACTTCCAAAATTTTATGAGGAAGTCCACACAAATGCACGGTCAAAGGCACAGAAACTGGACGGCACGTTTTTGGTCGTCTGTGGGTATGGCATGTATGCACTTTGCTACTGACCACATATATCTTGAAAGCCAAAATAGGAGGAACCATTTGAGCTTGTTTTTCTTCCTTGAAATAGAATCCCTCTTAGTTAGTCCAACAAGACGTCTACAAGTGCCGCAATCACCGCTCTGTCCATACCATTACGTAGTCCTGCTATGCTTGCTAGTTTCAACCCGCGTGAATTCTTAATTTTCCAGAAATTACCGCCAATTAATTGCTTCATTTTGTTCAGCCTGTGGCTAAAACTCTGGTTATGCCAAACAGTTGCATCACCCTAAGAATCATTTACCTCACCAAACGCGAAAGCTTAAGAGTTTCCGTTTATAGCGGGGTGTTGACCATTGCCTTGGCGTATATTGCGGTAGTGTCCGTTTTTGGCAAGTAATGTTCATTATCATTCAGTGGCTCCACAGTCAAGGCGCATTCTTCCATAACTCGTCCATAGCTCCCATTATGTTGCGGCCCACTTTCAGTCCAACGGTTTTGCTTCTTTTAGAGGCGTTGAAATGTATGCTGAATTTCAATGAGCCGACAAGGACTGATGATCCGCAATGGAAGGTTTGTACCCTTCAACTTTTATCCTTCCTTCATCCCGCAGATTCTCATATACGATCGCGTTGGCCAGGATATCATAGCCCCCCTGTTCACTGTCAAGGAGCTGCGTACCCTAGGCGTGACTTTACATATGCTATTGGATACCAAACGAGAGGCCATACCAGATGTACCCGCCGTATACTTCATCTATCCCTCTCAGGAGAACATCAGGCGCGTCTGTAAGGTGCGGGGCTTTTTCTGGTCGTTTATTATTCTTTATAGGATTTCGAGTCGGATCTCTACGACTCATATTACCTCAACTTTATTAGTCCGATTCCTCGTGAACAACTCGAGATATTGGCTGAAAATGCTCTCGCTGAGGATTGTATTTCCCGTATCAAAAAGGTATACGATCAGTACGCCAAATTCGTCTGTTTGGAGGACGACCTTTTCGTGCTTACTGAAGAGTCTCGTAATGTTCAAGACGGGACTTTCTACAGTGAGTTTCTTCAATCCTCTCCATTGCTTTCGACTGTAATGACCTTAATAACATCCACTACTGTCTCTTCTTGTCACATCTATTCTTTCGACAAGTAGGTTGGAGTCTAGAATAAGCGACGCATCTCCTGATACTTGTCCTCCTGAAGTCTTGCTGTTTGGGCTACTAGATAATACAGCGCATTATTGTCGCTAGTATCCATTTGCTACTGATGGACGATTCCTCTGAACGGGTTTTGCCTTTGTTTTGATTTATAATGCCGTCAATTGTGCTCTCAAACATTGACTCACCTGATCTGTTAAATGCCCTGGTCGGGACGGTATCTTAAATGTCTCTATCTGAACCAAATCAGCCCTCAACAAGATGAATTCTTCTGAGGCCGAGATCCAGTCGACCGTGAGCTCCGTCGTGGAGAGCCTCTTTTCATTGTTTGCCACACTGGGCTCTGTGCCTATAATTCGTTGTTCACGCACCAACGCGGCGGAGATGGTCTCTCGTGAGCTTGACGCCCGATTTCGTGA